TGCGATAGAAAAAACCCGGACTTTATATGGAAGTAACAAGAAATCGCAGTTATGTCAACAAATCTGCAGTTTGTTATAGAAATGATTATTTAAAAGTTTAATCTGTTATATTTATTTTAACGTATTGACTTTCTTTCAATTTATTTAGTTACGAAATCCAATGAAAATGGTAAATATTTTTTCATCTCCAATATAGCTTATCATTGAAATATTGTGTTTTCGTACTTCCGCGTTCTTCCCTACCTGTACATCTTATTCTACCCCAAGGCTCAACCTACCATAATATTGATCTATTCACCTTAGGCATTACTTGTTTTACTTCATTTCGACGAATCACGATCTATCTTTGACTATCAAAGTCCTTTCATGATGTACAGGCAATAACGAACGACCTTTCTATATTTTGCGATGGTATTATTCTTAAAGTGAGAATGACGCGACATATTCTGTTATTACATCTATATCTGTAAACTGTGCTGTATAAAGTATTATGTAATATAAATAAGCGATATTTAAAAAATTCAGATACAAATTTAGGTTTTTATTTATATATCTGATATCTAATTATATACCCGTTGATTTATAATAAACAAGGAACGATAATGCCTTCGTATCAATTGAAAACAATTAAAAATTCTCATGCAGAGTGTGATGCAAAAATTCTTACGGTTCAAAGGGTTTATTTCGGTTCATATGTAGAATTACACTTTGTTTTCAATTCTCGTAAGTTAATTTTACGATCTTTTAACTGTTATTCACTCGCTTTGTCATGCATAAAGTAGCCCATTTTCATCCTCTTCACCGGATGCAATGTTCCACTTCATAGGAACACGTGTTATTCTTAGGTGAAAAATCACCTGTCCCTTTATGAATCCCCATGTAGAAAATGACTAATCACCAATTTATGAGACTGTATAGTTTAAAAAAAAACTTGTTTTTATGTTAAAATTAAGTTAACGATCTTTAACCTTTTTAAAGAAAACGTATGTAGTTTAGAAAATCTCCAAAAGACTATGTTGATACGTTCTGGTTCAGCGAACGTAAACCTTCGTCGAGCTGGGGTGGTTCTGCTAGTTGTACAAAGGTCATATTTAATTATCGTGGCTTAATCAACTTCCTGTCTTGGATAGTTTCTGCTCTTTCCAAACCTTACGTCTACAGAAGAAAAAAACTGGATTTAAAAAAACGAACAAAACTCGACTATCAAAAATTTTTAAATAAAAAAAAAATTGTTAGCATCACCGTGAAAGAGGAGTTGCAACATTCTTATTGTTGGTTGATAGGTTGAATAACTTGGAAAGAAGGGCGTTTACATTTGCAGAAAGCAATTTTTCACTATCAAGTCTATTTTATCTAGAAGTGGTATAGAGCTATAGTATATGATTAGAGATCCTTTATGAACTTATTCATACGAAAACGTTTTTATTTATTACAAAATCAATTTATGTTATTGCAAGTATGAAAATGGCTCTTTTCTAGAAAATAATTTTTATAACAATCAACTATGGATGAAAGAAATCACTATAAATAACTGAGCAAAGTTTATTCCAGTCTTACCTATACAATGCAACTCGGCTCTTGATTTAACCAATGAGGTCACAATAAGAAGGAAATGGCTTTCAAGGCCAAAATCAGGTAGAACAATTTATTTTAAACTTATTTTTTCTCTTTAACATTCAATAGCATGACTTAAGAGGAGTTTAAAACATTGTATAAATTTTCATAAAGTGATTCTCTAGGCCAGTATTATTATTTACAAATTACACAAATTATTTTAATAATTCCATTTCTGAAATTAATAACTCGAAGATGACATTATATATTATACTTAATAGGCGACTGTAATGCCTAAAACTATCCTAGCGACTAACAAAGTAAATAATGTATTTCTTAATAACCACTTAACTTTTATTTTGACTAACGTTTAAGTTAGTCAAACCGTTTAAATATGTTATAAACTTACAGTTTATTTTTATTTTAACTTTTATTTCATTATATAAACTTATTTATGAAAGTTATCGGTATTAGCAAATATTATAAACAATTATGAATCACTTATTGGAAAAATTTCGTTTACTTAATTTTATTGCATATTCTTAAATTGATAACAGATTAAATCAGACAGATGTATAAAATATGTCGATAAATCTAATTTTTAAAAATATATTCAAGTTAAAACATTCCAATTTTTACGGTAGTATAAAGTGAATTAATAAGCAGGCTATAGAGTTTCATGTTTTCTTTCATTATAATAATTATATATTATATTAATATTAGAAATTCAATTATAAATAATAAACTTTAATTTTATAACTGCTTATCAAGATACAGGCTGTCGTGTATTATACAATATTTCCTTTTATTTTTCTGTAGGGAGACACGATAATTATCTTAATTCTTCATATTTAGTTTCAATTTGATATGAAAATTTCAGTTATAATCATATTTCAAGTTATTATTATATTTTTTCTTTTGTAGGACGAAAGAATTAAAGCAACACCGTTTCACTTTAACTTTTCTAATTCATTTAAAACAATTAAATTTGAAAAAAAAACTCTAGCTAAGTTTATGTATAGTAAATCATTATTAAACTTTTTAAATTTTATTTTTAAATCATAATAAAATTTTATTTAAATAATAAAAGAAAAATTTATTGATGTAATTATTTGTCTCCAAGCTGTGCCCCCCAGAAAACTTTTTGAGGATTCCCATGATCGCCGGTAAGAAATAAAATTAAAATTTTATATAATTCTTACAACATTACTGACAGATTAAAAACTATAGTTATTGAAATCTCATCAAAAATATTACTGATCGTATTTTGAGTTAATAATTTTATGCATAACTTAGGCCTATATATATATCGAGAATTTTGTATTTTTTCAGATGAATCTATGACTCTTCTAATTTTAAATATATAATACAAAATAATTTATAACAGGGAACTTAATTATTCTGAAATAATATCCTTAGTAGAATGTTTGTATACTTAAGATGTAAGACAAGTAATGAAATTTCTTAAAGAATGTGTTATAAAATTGTTTTTAAGATTTATTATATTAGAAAAAATTCTATAAAGAGAATCTAAATTATATAAAAATAAATTTCGTATAAGTATATACAAAATTTGTTTTTATATAATTTGCCTGTTTTTACACATTTCCACATATCAAATAAATGGTTATAGTTACTCAACAGCTATTGATATTGCAATATTAGTAGGAACATTTAGAAATTCATCTATTTTTTATCACGTGTAAAAATGTTATGTGATGTTAAAAGCAACAAGTAAAACCAGTAGGTAACTGGTATAGTTTGCAACATAATATATTTAGATTATTGTTATTAGGTTATTCTATCTCATAAAAATTTTATATATTATTGATATCACACGAAAGCATTCATATAATTCTAATGGAATTAAATGCTTCTAATACACGGTATCCATTCATATCGATTCCTTCTGATATATATTGATAGTTGTCGTGGAGGATCCAGAAATCTAAAGGGGGCTAACACAAAAGTTAAATATATTTGAATAATTATAAATATCTTTTATTAACAAGCGCAAAACGATTGTATTGCAGGACTGACGATGTTTGACATCAAAAATGTTTTTAAAAATAACGTTTCGAAGTTCGAACAAATAAATTTTTATTTTTGTCAATGGAGAGTGCTGAAGTCCCTGTAGACATTGATCCTCTCTCCTGATGGCTGGAAAATACATTTAAAATAAACATTACAGTATTTGCATTTAAGCATTTAGTAGTATATTTTAGAAAATATAAAATGATAAATTGTTCTCATTTTATTTTCAAATAGCGCCATTTATACTGTTGTAAATATTTAGCGTGGAATGAGCTACGAATTAGATCAAAATATGCGAGAAAATTAATTATATAGTTTACACCATACTGACCATGAACAGTTTGATCATATAACTAGGCCATTTATTAAGGATTATGAATCCCTTAATTGAAGTAATTTAGTAAAGAAATCATTATCGAATATAGGAGAAATTCTTTGTATCAGCATAACTAATCTGCTATTTGGCTGACAGCCAGCATTTTATTTATCTAAATACACACTAAATGTAATAATTGTAAGAGAAAAATTATAATACTTTTGTTTAATAAAATATAATATATACAATATCTTCCTTTTCATTTTAATTATATTTTTGAGATAATAAATATGCATATCAGCAATAAAGATAGCAGAGTTTAATATGATTAATCAATTTTATGATATCGAATTTATAATCTGCAACTAAATATTAAATGCAACGAAATTTAGTTTTTATAATTTGATTATATAGAGTGACTAGAAAACCTAAAATCCAAGCATTATTAAATTTATTTAAACAAAATAACTGTACGTGCACAGTTAAATGATTATTCGTAGATAAAACATTGTAGACTTTGAAAATGTTTTCTATTTTCTCTAAACATAGCCAAATTTTATTTGATGCTTTTTACGAAATTTTTTGGATTTAATGTTTTAAAACCTTTGCATTATTCATAAAATAATTGTCTTTTTATATACCGTTCGAAAATTTTGCTTTAAAGAGATTTATTGCTTCTATGATTGGATTGATGGGATGAAACAACGCGACACACGGACCATGTGGCAAGGGTATGTGACTTTCGGGAGGACTTTCTGTGGGAAATTGACCCCTATATAGTGTTAGACACTTGAAGGAAACCCGGAAAACTCCACGTGGCTAGCCCATTGGCAAGGCGCGAACCCTATGTTCAGTACTTTTATTCACCTGGCTGCAGCTGCTATTTTAAATTATTAAATATATCTTACAATTAAAATATTTCATTTTCATATGCAACAATTTGCATTGTAATTTTGTCGAGTATAAGTAAATTATATNATAATCTGATCAGGAAAAACATTTTTCCGCTTTCCAGAAATTATAGGTGTGAAGTTTAAAACCGTACATGACCTTGGACGATTTTATTGCATAAAACAAGGGAACTGGCTTCATTAAAGTAATAAATTATCTTTTGAATGATAATACGAAGTAAACAAAGTTTACGCTTATTCCAATAAAACAGAAATATTGTTTTGACGGAAGAAATAAATCGGAACTTTTGCTGGCGTTTACAAGCGCGGAAGTACGTTTATACCAATAACACGAAGGAAGCGACGCTATTGGACTAAGAACCGGTTTAGTGACTTGAGGGGTTCAGCCACGCAGGACGACCTGCGGTATGCAATAACACTGACGATTTATTCGTAGCCTTACGAAGGAAACATGGCGGGCGAAACCACGGTTCAAACAACACAGAAAACGGAGACTCGTACCAACGCTGGAATATCAGTAACAACGAAAACCGAATCGACTGGAATTTTAGATGGTTTGCATCTCAATCCCTGGTACTTTAAAACTATACCTGGAATTCTGAAACTTGTTCAATTGGTGAGTATTATATAATTTATCCGTTTTACATCCCTAAATTGTAAATTTAGTTTTTTTGTTTTTTCAAATTTCGAATTTCCGCTTTGCAAATTTTTAAGGGCGTGTTAATTCCTTCCCGGTATCCTTAACTTAAAGATGTTACGAATATTCAACGTTGTTAACCTTGTTTATTTAATTGGATTAATTCTTGGTCAATGTTAAAGGAAGACTTTTTTAAAATATTAATTATATCTTGTGTCATACATTGCGAAAATTTTGTTATTTATATTCAAGGTTAAACATGGCGAGAAAGCATTTCCTTAATATCCTTCTAATATTCTTAAATATATTTAAAGGAGTAAATGTTGCGTGTTACAACTTACGGTCATAGTTTTCCCACATAATTTTCTTTTTAAGATTTTATCGAAGTGCCTTTCAGTTTCTTTTAATGGGCAATGATTAGATTTTCCATGGTTTCATTTTTATAAACAAATTATAAAAGTTATTTATTTTAGTTTATAGAATAGTTAGAATTTATACTAATATATAAACAGAACATAAATAATTTTAAGGTTTATATGTGGGACAAAAATAAATAAAAACGAAATGAAATGTGAAGCTTGACTTGTGTCCAATTTTTTTTTTTTTTTAAATCGGGAAAAAAATAAAACGAGATTACCTGACAAGTGACAAAAAACATCCGGTAAATTTAACAATTTTGTGCTTGAAGAATAAACGGGAACGTTTATGTCACGTAAGGAAATATCTATCCAAAAATTTAGATGGGAAGTTCGGTTACTGACTTTTCCGTTATTCCCAGTAAAAGAATCTTATCTAAAAATCTAAACTAAATTTTATCGCACGTATATGTATTATATTTTACGGTATAAAAAGAATCAAAATATAAAATGATACTGGAAATTATTATAAATAAAAGTAAGTAAAATATATATTAGATACTATTAAATTCTAAACGTGTTTATTTATTTAACGAAATCTAGGAAATAATTATATAGAAATTCGATGTATACTTAATAAACTTTTATCCATATTTAACACGCCTTCGTAACGTGTTGTCGAAGGAGAAGCGTGATGCTAAGGTGGTCTTCAAACCTGTATAAGGTCTGTGACTTTTATACGCCTTCTTGACTTCTCCCTTTTCTGCTTTTGGCAAACACGGTATCTAAAGAAGAAAAATAAATATTCATTTGCGATAGAAAAAACCCGGACTTTATATGGAAGTAACAAGAAATCGCAGTTATGTCAACAAATCTGCAGTTTGTTATAGAAATGATTATTTAAAAGTTTAATCTGTTATATTTATTTTAACGTATTGACTTTCTTTCAATTTATTTAGTTACGAAATCCAATGAAAATGGTAAATATTTTTTCATCTCCAATATAGCTTATCATTGAAATATTGTGTTTTCGTACTTCCGCGTTCTTCCCTACCTGTACATCTTATTCTACCCCAAGGCTCAACCTACCATAATATTGATCTATTCACCTTAGGCATTACTTGTTTTACTTCATTTCGACGAATCACGATCTATCTTTGACTATCAAAGTCCTTTCATGATGTACAGGCAATAACGAACGACCTTTCTATATTTTGCGATGGTATTATTCTTAAAGTGAGAATGACGCGACATATTCTGTTATTACATCTATATCTGTAAACTGTGCTGTATAAAGTATTATGTAATATAAATAAGCGATATTTAAAAAATTCAGATACAAATTTAGGTTTTTATTTATATATCTGATATCTAATTATATACCCGTTGATTTATAATAAACAAGGAACGATAATGCCTTCGTATCAATTGAAAACAATTAAAAATTCTCATGCAGAGTGTGATGCAAAAATTCTTACGGTTCAAAGGGTTTATTTCGGTTCATATGTAGAATTACACTTTGTTTTCAATTCTCGTAAGTTAATTTTACGATCTTTTAACTGTTATTCACTCGCTTTGTCATGCATAAAGTAGCCCATTTTCATCCTCTTCACCGGATGCAATGTTCCACTTCATAGGAACACGTGTTATTCTTAGGTGAAAAATCACCTGTCCCTTTATGAATCCCCATGTAGAAAATGACTAATCACCAATTTATGAGACTGTATAGTTTAAAAAAAAACTTGTTTTTATGTTAAAATTAAGTTAACGATCTTTAACCTTTTTAAAGAAAACGTATGTAGTTTAGAAAATCTCCAAAAGACTATGTTGATACGTTCTGGTTCAGCGAACGTAAACCTTCGTCGAGCTGGGGTGGTTCTGCTAGTTGTACAAAGGTCATATTTAATTATCGTGGCTTAATCAACTTCCTGTCTTGGATAGTTTCTGCTCTTTCCAAACCTTACGTCTACAGAAGAAAAAAACTGGATTTAAAAAAACGAACAAAACTCGACTATCAAAAATTTTTAAATAAAAAAAAAATTGTTAGCATCACCGTGAAAGAGGAGTTGCAACATTCTTATTGTTGGTTGATAGGTTGAATAACTTGGAAAGAAGGGCGTTTACATTTGCAGAAAGCAATTTTTCACTATCAAGTCTATTTTATCTAGAAGTGGTATAGAGCTATAGTATATGATTAGAGATCCTTTATGAACTTATTCATACGAAAACGTTTTTATTTATTACAAAATCAATTTATGTTATTGCAAGTATGAAAATGGCTCTTTTCTAGAAAATAATTTTTATAACAATCAACTATGGATGAAAGAAATCACTATAAATAACTGAGCAAAGTTTATTCCAGTCTTACCTATACAATGCAACTCGGCTCTTGATTTAACCAATGAGGTCACAATAAGAAGGAAATGGCTTTCAAGGCCAAAATCAGGTAGAACAATTTATTTTAAACTTATTTTTTCTCTTTAACATTCAATAGCATGACTTAAGAGGAGTTTAAAACATTGTATAAATTTTCATAAAGTGATTCTCTAGGCCAGTATTATTATTTACAAATTACACAAATTATTTTAATAATTCCATTTCTGAAATTAATAACTCGAAGATGACATTATATATTATACTTAATAGGCGACTGTAATGCCTAAAACTATCCTAGCGACTAACAAAGTAAATAATGTATTTCTTAATAACCACTTAACTTTTATTTTGACTAACGTTTAAGTTAGTCAAACCGTTTAAATATGTTATAAACTTACAGTTTATTTTTATTTTAACTTTTATTTCATTATATAAACTTATTTATGAAAGTTATCGGTATTAGCAAATATTATAAACAATTATGAATCACTTATTGGAAAAATTTCGTTTACTTAATTTTATTGCATATTCTTAAATTGATAACAGATTAAATCAGACAGATGTATAAAATATGTCGATAAATCTAATTTTTAAAAATATATTCAAGTTAAAACATTCCAATTTTTACGGTAGTATAAAGTGAATTAATAAGCAGGCTATAGAGTTTCATGTTTTCTTTCATTATAATAATTATATATTATATTAATATTAGAAATTCAATTATAAATAATAAACTTTAATTTTATAACTGCTTATCAAGATACAGGCTGTCGTGTATTATACAATATTTCCTTTTATTTTTCTGTAGGGAGACACGATAATTATCTTAATTCTTCATATTTAGTTTCAATTTGATATGAAAATTTCAGTTATAATCATATTTCAAGTTATTATTATATTTTTTCTTTTGTAGGACGAAAGAATTAAAGCAACACCGTTTCACTTTAACTTTTCTAATTCATTTAAAACAATTAAATTTGAAAAAAAAACTCTAGCTAAGTTTATGTATAGTAAATCATTATTAAACTTTTTAAATTTTATTTTTAAATCATAATAAAATTTTATTTAAATAATAAAAGAAAAATTTATTGATGTAATTATTTGTCTCCAAGCTGTGCCCCCCAGAAAACTTTTTGAGGATTCCCATGATCGCCGGTAAGAAATAAAATTAAAATTTTATATAATTCTTACAACATTACTGACAGATTAAAAACTATAGTTATTGAAATCTCATCAAAAATATTACTGATCGTATTTTGAGTTAATAATTTTATGCATAACTTAGGCCTATATATATATCGAGAATTTTGTATTTTTTCAGATGAATCTATGACTCTTCTAATTTTAAATATATAATACAAAATAATTTATAACAGGGAACTTAATTATTCTGAAATAATATCCTTAGTAGAATGTTTGTATACTTAAGATGTAAGACAAGTAATGAAATTTCTTAAAGAATGTGTTATAAAATTGTTTTTAAGATTTATTATATTAGAAAAAATTCTATAAAGAGAATCTAAATTATATAAAAATAAATTTCGTATAAGTATATACAAAATTTGTTTTTATATAATTTGCCTGTTTTTACACATTTCCACATATCAAATAAATGGTTATAGTTACTCAACAGCTATTGATATTGCAATATTAGTAGGAACATTTAGAAATTCATCTATTTTTTATCACGTGTAAAAATGTTATGTGATGTTAAAAGCAACAAGTAAAACCAGTAGGTAACTGGTATAGTTTGCAACATAATATATTTAGATTATTGTTATTAGGTTATTCTATCTCATAAAAATTTTATATATTATTGATATCACACGAAAGCATTCATATAATTCTAATGGAATTAAATGCTTCTAATACACGGTATCCATTCATATCGATTCCTTCTGATATATATTGATAGTTGTCGTGGAGGATCCAGAAATCTAAAGGGGGCTAACACAAAAGTTAAATATATTTGAATAATTATAAATATCTTTTATTAACAAGCGCAAAACGATTGTATTGCAGGACTGACGATGTTTGACATCAAAAATGTTTTTAAAAATAACGTTTCGAAGTTCGAACAAATAAATTTTTATTTTTGTCAATGGAGAGTGCTGAAGTCCCTGTAGACATTGATCCTCTCTCCTGATGGCTGGAAAATACATTTAAAATAAACATTACAGTATTTGCATTTAAGCATTTAGTAGTATATTTTAGAAAATATAAAATGATAAATTGTTCTCATTTTAT